CTCTCTTCTAACTGTATTGTTTGGCTAAGTTTTTTGTCTGCTAACATTTTAGTTAGCCTTATCCTACTCTTGCTACAAGTAACTTCAGCTTTTTACTAAAATTTCCTGAAATTTTTCCTTATTGTCTGCATTCTGTCCAGTTTGAGTACTGTATACTCTCCTTCTATTAGCTTACATATGACATATCGAATTAGTTATCTGCTCACATGAAGTTTGTTTACCTTGTTTTGTAACTTTTGTATTATGTTGAATGTTCTATATAACAGGGTGAATTCAAATCCTCACTTTTCTCTAAAAATTTCTTCAAATTTTCTTTAGAAGTGAGTTTTCTTCTAGTTATTCATAGAGTTTTTCAGATTTTCTTTATTAATATATGTAATTTTAGATGCTTTCTCTTTTTGCTTATTGCTACTTGTATTGTTTCTTAATGCTGTTTTTTAGAAAATTATGATTTTGCTTTAGCTCAGAAAATGGTCAAAATGATCTACAGAGAGAGTTATTGTAAATAAGAATTTATTATAATTAAATTATGAAGTAATTTATAATAAATAAATATAAGATTTAAATTATTAAAAGTACTATATATTAATTTTAGATATATCATTAAATACTTCTAAAGTTTGAATTTATAGTATTATCATTTGTTTTTTCATTATTACTATTAAAATTAGAGATAACACAACTATTGTGAGCAAAATAAATATTATTATCAGAAGTTAACTCTATATAACTATTAGAATTAGGAATATTATAGCTATTAGAAATAGTAGTAGAATAAATACTAGAGGTAGAGCTAACATGATCTTCTAAATTGTCAGAATCATCTAATTAAAAATAAATTTAATTATTAATAATATTTTATTATTATTATAATATAAAGTATACTTTCATTAATTGTATCAGTTATTTAGCAATTTATATTATATTCAATTTCATGCTCTAAAATTAAATTTGAATTTTCTTTGCCAAAACTTATATTTTTTTCAGTATATTGATATGATATTTCTAATTCATCATTACTACTTAAAATTTGTATACTAGAATTAACAATTTTTAACTTCTTATTTTTTTTCTTAACCTATCCACTATAAAAAAATAAATATATAATAATTAAAAATATTTTATAAATATATTAATATATATTAATAAAGTATATATTTTTTTTTTAACTTAGGTAACCTTACTCTTAGTTTATTAGTAGAAGATTTATAAAGAAATCATAATACAAAAATAAAAAAAAACTAATATTCTAAACTACTAATATATTCTACCCTTGTAACCTCAAATTAACTTAGCTTGCCTTGTACTGCTCAGGTATGATCTACTATAAAAAGTATTTATTTCTCTAAAAAGTATCCTATCTAAGTAGATTAGTTCCTTCAGATCAGTAATAGGTTCTTTTATACCTTATTAAAGTTCTAGATTGCTTTTAATCTAATTAAAACTAAATTACAAACTATTAATATCTAGTTCAAATTAAAAATAAAAATTATTGCATATAATAAAACATAAATAATTATATAAACTAAGTATATAAGAGAAAAATCTGCTACTAGATTAAAAAATCCTTACAAGTAAAAAAGTAAAAAAAAAAGAAAAAGAAACAAATACTCTAATTAACATAAAGAAAAAAAAATGTAACAAAATATAAAAATATTATGCTAGACAAAAACAAAAATACATATCTCTAGCAATAAATATCTTTAGAAGTTAAATTCTAATTGGATCATCTATATGATAGTGATATATTGTCTTATCTAAGTTGTATATTAACAGATGACTTGTCAAATTAGGAGGTGGTATAAACTTGCAGATCCTTTATCAGAAGTTCACCAAATTTCCTACTTTTTTATTTTTCAGTATAGAAAAATCCAAAGGTCTAAAGAAAAACAGTAGTAGTATCAAAAAGATTTAAAAAGAGTATATATTTTCTAAAATCTACTATCTACTTGTATTTACCTAAAGTATAACTAGTATTTATCTTCTGTGAGTAAGTAATAAACTTTAAGCTTATCAGCAAGTAGTGTATAAGAACTACTTCTAAATGACAAGTGCTACTATGATATTACAGTGAGTAATAAACTCTAAACCTGTTAGCAGATAGTGTATAAGAACTATCTCTAAATAGCAGATGCTGTCTTATGTTTCTCTGTGTTGTTGCTCTTGTGTTTTTATAAAGTTTATTGTATATTTTTAAAAAAATAAGTTGAGAATTTTTGGTACGAGAGATCATTAATTAATAAAGTATATAAAGATATTAAAATTACCTCTATTATTTAATTTTTGTTTTAAATACTCTTCTACAATCTATTTATTTAAGCCAATTTGAAGTTTATACTTATTATATACCTATTAAATTAATTTTATATGATAATAAAAAAAATCAATTCAAATTTAGTAAAAATAAATTATATTTATAGTTTCAAGAATAATTGTTAAAATACAATTTTAAAAATATAATTTTAAAAATATAATTTTCTTGTTTATCTAAATAGTATATAGAAAGTAGTATAAATTTGACATAATAATTATAAATCATTATATCTATATCTATATATAATTTTAGTAATAGTAGTATATATCTAACTATATATATTAAAAATATTTTATAGTGACTTATAATAGATAATTTGTACTATATATTTTAAATTTAAATAATTTATAATATTTAGATAATATGTATTACTTATATTATCAATTCAACTTTCTTTTGTTATATATCCTAAATATGATCAAGTTGTTGATGCTTCAATTTTGTTTTCTTCAAGATATAGTATAAAATCAGCTTTAATTTTTGAAAAATAATCTTTTGGTAACTATAAGCAAAGTGTAGATAATTTTAATTTTGATGATTAATATTATTTCTTTTAGGTAGTTGTATAGTTAATATTTTGAAATTAGCTTTTTTTATTCTTTTTTCTTTAAGTAAGTTATTAAGTATTTTTCTTTGTGTATTATAACATAATTTCAAAATTTCTATTTGTTGACCAGTTGATAATATATTTAAAGTTTCAGTGAAAGAAAGTTTATAGTCTGTAATTTTTTGAAACAAGTATTCATAAAATATAGAAGTAGAAGTTATTATCACAAAAATTTAAACAAAATATAAACAAACTATAAAAAACAATTTATCATTATTATTATTTAGATCACAAATTAAATAAATTTAATTGGCTAATAATTTGATATATATACTATTGATATATACTTATATAATAAATAGAAGTCAGTATTAATTCAATATATAACTTAATCTATATATCTGATATTATATCAATTATATTCTTGATATTTAAATATAAATAATAATATAAATATATCAAAAAAATAACTTTAATACTATTTTGCCTCTAATAAATAATAAACAATTTTTTTTGTTAATTGTTTTTAATTTATAAATAGTGATAACAATAATAATTACTAAAAATAGTAACAAAAAAATTTGTAAAAGTAAAACCTGTTTATTAATTAATTTACAAGACTAAGAACTTAGTAAAAAAAATTATAAGCTAACATAAAAAAGTTGAAAAATATATATATAATAAAAATGGTGTTGTTATTAGAAAAAAATATTATAAAATAAAGAGAGTTTATAAATTAAACCAAAATATAATTACAAATCAAAATGAACCTAAACTATATAAATATAAAAAATTAAATTAATCTAAAGAATTAGAACAAGAACAATATAAAGAATTAGAACAAGAACTATATGAAGAATTAGAAAAATTTAAAGAATTTGAACTAGAACTATCTAAAAAATTAGAAAAATCAAATATAAATAAATTAGTTCATAATATTAAAGGTATATAAATATTTTATATTTATATTTGAAATAAAATTTAAAATATATATAATATATAACTGTTGTCAATAAAAATAAAACAAATTAATATTTAAAAAATTAATATCTTAAATTTCATAGCTTATATCTTGATAATTTTTTAAATATTTAATTTGTCTATTGATAGCAGTTTATATATTTGATATTGCTATTAATTAATTAAATATATTATAGAATTTTCAGATTTATTTAAAGTATTATGATTATTATATATTAAGGCAAAAAATACTTATATATCAGATAATAATTTTAACGAAATATTACAAATTTTTAATTGCAATAGTGCAACTTTATATTTAGCAAAAAAAGGTTTTTCAAAATTTAATTAATATTGATATATTATTTGTTAATATGTATTTTAATTCTTGTATAGCATTTACTAATAAATATTCAGAAGTATTACAATATCTTATATGTTTATCAGCTCGATTTCAAAAAACAATATTTCAAACAAAGTAGCTACCTATTATCCATTATCCTCTCAATTAAAATTTCAATATTCTAATTCTGAATAATCAAAAACTTTTAGATATCATTCAAATTATAAATTTATACCTAATATGTTTATTAATATTTTTAATAATTAGTTATATAAAAGCCTATTAAATAAAGAAATAATTAAAAATAAGTATAATATAATACTATTTAGAAGTTTAGATAGTTATCAAATTTTTCACTAGCAATGAGATGATAATTAAGTAATTTTATTTATCAATAATAATATACCACTAGAAAAATATGTCAAGAAGAGAATTTATTAATTTCAGCAATTATTTCTAATTCAAAATGTCTAAAAGATCTTAATACTTTCATATATTCTATTATTACTAAATTAAAAAAACTTGAAGGTATTTTAATTTATATTAATAATTTTTAAAATTTAACTATAAATTATAAAAATACCTATTTTTACTATAGTAATTTGCTATATTCGCTATAATTATTAAATGTAAATTCTAGTTATATAGTATAAATTATATTACTATAGTAAAAATAAATATTTTTTAAATTATTATTATTATAATTTTTAGAAGGAATATTATGTTAGAATAGTTAGAAGCAAGAAAACTTTATTTTACGAGCTTTTGTTCCAATATGGTGTAGTAATTTACCAGCAATTAGTAAACTAATTAATGTAACTAGATATAATAGATATATGGGATGTCAATTTTGTAACTTAAAAGGTGTATCTAATATAGATGCTAGTATTAGTCATATATACTTTCCATTAAAATATCCTACAAAGAATAGTGAAGAATCATATAATACAAAAAATCTTCCTTTGTACAATTATGAATTATATTTAAACAAAGTATTAATTTAGAAAACTGCATCTAATAAAAAAAAATTCAGCGAGAAACTGGTATAAATTTTCTAATTTTATTAAAAAATTAAATTTATAATTTAATTATATTAATTATTATTTAATATACTTTATTTTTATATTTATAGATATTACCAGAAAAAGTATTCTTTTTAAATTAGAAGCTGTACAATTTTCTACTTCTTTTTCTTTAGATATTATGCATTTATTATTCAAAAGTGTTGCAATACATATATATAAACATTAGTCAGGAACATATTATTCAGATAAATTATTAAATAGTTCTAAAATGAATTCGCAAACTTTATCTAAAGCTGTATGAAAAAATATTGGTAATATGATGAAAGCAAACAAAAAAACAATGCTATCTGAATTTGGATATTCACTATTAAATATTACTAAATATTCAAATTTATTTAAAGCTAAGGATTAGATAAATTGAACTTGTTTATACTCAATTTCTTTATTGCAACACTTTCATGATAAGAGGTTTTTAATTTTAATTTAATTGATAAAAAACTATATAATTTAATTTTTTTATTATATAGTTTTATAGATAACTAGTACATGTTCGTAGAGGCTGCTAAAATTACTATTAAAAAATCAATAAGTTATAAACAATTGCTTTATTTAAGTGAAAACTTTCAAGTATTTTTTAAATCTTATACTTGGTATTTATTTTTATTTAGCTATTATAAATTATAATATTTATTTAATATATTAAATTTAATTATTAATTATATCTAGATTGTAGGTTGGTAATAATATAAAATGTCTATTAGCTTTTTGAATAACTTTTCACTATTTACTCTATATACAATCATGTATTGAAAATTGTAAACTATGTTAAGTATATTGGCAATTCCCAATAGAGCAATTATGTGGAATGCTACAACCTATAATCCAATCTAAATATTGTCCATATAAGAATTTGATAAATAATATTTTATTACTTGATTATTGTTATCATCTTCGTTTTCAGCCAACAATTTATACACAAGTTTTTTCTTCAAAACTTTCTAAACAATATAATCCTCAACAAGTTATTTGGATCAAAGATAGCAGTAAAGAACTGTCACCAAGTCTAGATTATATATTAAATAATGAAGAATTTATGAGGTTATGAAATTTTTATCAAGCAAATTTAAATAAACCTATTGAAGAAGTAAGTTTCATTTTATATAAATTTTATAACTAAAAATATTAAATTGTTAAATTATGATGATAATTAATTCTTTATTTATAAAATTATTTATTATAAAGCTACGAGACTGGGAAGTAAAATATGCCAGATTGCATACAGATGAAGGGTATATGCTTGGTTCTTTAATGTCAATGACTTCAGCTAATTCATATGAAAATGCATATGTAATGGTAAGTTAATACTAATAAATAATTTAAAATATGATTATCATTCAATTAATACTTAAAACTATACTTATTAAAAATATTATTCATATTATAAGTATGAACTTGAAGTTAATATTTCTAAGTCAAAAAACTTGGAGAAGTATGAACTGCGACAATTTTCAATCAAGTACAATTTTATTTTTATTATATATTCTGTGAAAAATATCAGTTACTAGCATATATTCTCAATGCAAAAAATACAAAAAAAGAATCATATGGTTTATAAAATTTTGAGGAATTTGATAACTATGAATTTGTGGATGTATCAATGATATGAAGATGTGTAGGTTTTTTAAAATTAGGAAAATACTCATATTATCAATAAACAAATTATGTAATTTGACATGTAATGTTTATTTAGGTAAATTAGTTTAGAACTATTTTTTAGACTGAAATAAATAGATTTTCTACGCATTAGTTATATAATATGTAAATGGAAATATCAAGTGAACTTGTCATATATGAACATTACATAAAAAACATTTTAGCATTAAGCTTTACATGAATTAAGTATACGAGTCTTTGTCTTAAAAATCAAGTTTTAATCATATAATTAAAACTTGATTCAAGGCAAAGACCCCATATTTCATTTTCTAACTTGCAATCTCATATAACTTTACACTTAATATCTGATATTTTATAGCATATTTTATATTTTGTGTACGCATTATGCTTAATGCGTAATATATTTCATTCTTATCGTTACGTGCTGTTCCGTAGAATTTACGTATAAATTACGTGAAACATGCAGATTCGAACCACTCTCCAAAACGTGCCATTCTGTATGATGTAATGTACGTGCCATTTTTAACCGTACTATTCCGTAAAACGTACATATACGCGTCAAGAATCCGCGCCATTCCAAGCATTCCCGATGCCAACTCGTGCCACATCCCGAACCACTTTTTTTATAGGGTGGATTTATAATGTTGTGTTAGACCCAAATAGGGTTGTTAATGGAGTAGCATACTCCGGAGTGAACCCAACCCAAGTTGGAGTGGGTTAAAGTTATGACTAAAAATCTGGAGTGAACCGGAGCAACTACTAAGCAAGTGTGAAGTGATTCCGGAGTGAACCCAACCCAAGTTGAGTAGGTTGAGGACTAGTTCAATCCAACTCAAGTTGGAATAGGTTGATGACTAGTTCAACCCAACCCAACCCATTAACAACCCTAGACCCGAACCATTGTGTAACCTAACCTCCGGTCGAGTTCTGACCAGAACCAGTTCAGCCCTTCTCACCTACAATAAAGCCATCTGATCTCACAATAATGATGCCCTGTCACTTCGTTGACAAAGCTCACAAGAATTTTATTTTAAAACATGATCGTTACTTCTAGATTTGTATAGCTTTTATTTTCAGTATTAATAATCGCTTGAGAAGTAAGTTTATTTTTCTACAAATAAGGCAGTTGTTCATAGTAGAGTGAAACGGAGCGCTAAGAGTATGATGATTATGATCCAGAGCAATGAAGCATTCTATATAGATCGAGATAAATATCAAAGAATATCATGTAAAACGTTTCAATTTTGTGATATCGATATGTTTACTTTCTTTTCAAAGCTATTTTTTCACGATCCTAACCAAAAAAGGAAACAAAAATGAAAAGACTCGTAACGAAATATTAGAGAAACTTTTTGCAAGAATTAAAATAACGATAAAGTAATCGGACAGTTAGACTATCGATATAGTCTGGTTGTCGCTCAATTCCCCGAAAACTACTTACCCGATATCACATAGGGTGACAACTTAGCATTTAGTTAGTTATAGGTATATTTTATTAGTAAATTTTCACCTCATGTGATGTCGGGTAAATAGATTTTAGGGCAAGTAGTTTTCGGGGAATCGTACCGTAACCATATAGTCTATAGTTGCTTGACGATGCTAATCATCACACAGCCACATGTTAATAATATTAGTGCAATTAACATGTGAATTCACATGTTACTATTCGTGGCTATGTGATGATTAGCATCACATAGTTTAGTCAAGCAATTATAATATAGTCACAGATATGGTAAAATTAAAATGTACTACGTATACGAGTAGTATAAAATTCCAGAACAAAATGTAATTCACAAGTAAAGCTATGGAAAATGTTTCTGAAGAATGGCTCGAAGGAATTGGGCATATTAATTATCTCGAATATAATATATTTACAGATAAAAAGATTGGTGAAGGATCTATTAGTAAAATTAATATTTTTAAATGAACATAAATTGGAGATTTTGATTTTGCTTTAATCTAATAGATTTCTTTTTTGCAATTCAAAAAGTTAATGATATAATTCTGTAATGCGAATATGTATGGTTAATTTGAAAATTTTCTATTTTCAATCGAGATTAGTGTAAATTTGTTAAATAATGAGTTAATTCTTAATAATATTGTAACAACAAATAATCTTTTGACAAATTATTATTCTTGACCACTAGCAAGATAGGAATTGACTGACGAGGGTAAAATCGTCACCTAAAAAAATTCTGATATCACGAAATTAATTCATAATGATTTTTGTCATGTATGATTTTCTTTTTTCTTCAAATGAAGTGTAATCGTTGCAAACTTAATTCTAAGATAACGATATATATTGATTGTCGTGTTTAACTTTTACTGATAACAAATAAAATTTTAAGGGCTAGTCAAGAAATCTATAATACGTCATTATCAATTTCAAAGACACAAATTAATTTCGTAGACAGCTTATTTCATAGACATATAAAATTTAAATATAAACTATAATCTTTCTCTAACCATAAATTTAATGATAATAACTACTGTAAAAAGTTGCTTGTAAAATAAGTTGTCTACAAAATGAACTTGTTCTATGAATTGGTAGTCTGTAAACTAAACTTGTCTGTGAATTTAATTGTTTGTGAACTAAGTAGGTTGTTGTGAGCAGCACCAGATATCAAAAACACTTTGAGCCATTACGACTATAATAATAATTTAAAAAAAAAACATCATATCCCAAACTTGAACAATTTTAATATTTTTGCCTGTAATAAATTTTAAAAGTTTTATTCATGATTTAATGATGGTATTAATTTTGTAATTTAATTATTTTTTCTTTAATTTCATTATTCAAATTATACGAATTTCAGTGCAGTGATATTCATCGCGTGATATGGATAAAATTTTGGTGTGTTCTTGGGGTAATTGGTAGTTGCATTAATAAAAGTGAGGGTCCATTTTTCTAGTTATTCCACAAATTCACTATTTTTATTATCCTTCAAATGCTAATATAGGCGCTTGAAATATCTAAGGGAGTTATAAATATAGTTAAACCTCTCTAAGTGTACTTTCTGAAAATGCACACTCTAGCTTGGTCTCTAAGCTTAGGACTTAGTGCTTAAGAGCATTCCTCTACCCTCTGCACATGTATATGATTTGGCTCATATATGCACTCCCGTGATTACACGCACATGATTTTATAAAGGGCTAACTAATAAAAATATAAAATTTATGAAAATTACAAGGTAAATAATGTTTCCTAGCTAATTTGGAGTAAATTGATTGATTAATGTAAATTCTTTTTGATTGCATAAAAGTTATATTATAATTGGATCAAAGATATTTAAATACAAATTATTGATTATTTAGGTTAAAATATACCGTAAGTTTGATTGATTGATTATCACATGTTGTATAAATAGCCAATAATAAAATATTATTCGACCAATCACGAGAAAGTTAGTATACGATCCAATACAATCTATAAATTCTGTACTAACTCGATCATGAATATACAAATATAGTTCTTAACCCATACTGATCCAGTATATCTTTTTCATAGGGTAACTTTGTAAATCGAATCTAATAAAGTTTAACTCGAATTTAAGTTGAATTGTACGAACCGGTTCCGACCTCACCTAACTTGATTATGTAGTGTTAAGTAATTGTGTATGAATATAAATTTGATTAAACGGATTAATAAATCAGGATCGATGTCAACTTAATTAAAATAATTTGGTCATTTTAAAAGCTAAAACTAAATAATTTTTGTTTTAACAATTTCGAATATTAAAATTCAAGCAAAATACAATAAATAATATTTGCATTATAAAAACTAAAATATGTGAAACAGCTAATAGAGTAAATGTACTATACGAATTGGTTATGTATTAACAGTAAACTTTACATATACCATAAATAATTGTATACATACTGTATTATAAATGCTATGTTTAAGTATACCAAAATACAACTTTTATGTAATTAATATTTAAATCGCTATCATTTATATTGCTGTATACAATTTTATCTTAATAATTTTTTTATACTCCCAAATTTTTTTCTCTTGGTCGATCAACATTTTTACGCTTACGATTAATATGTTGATCTTGCTGTTCTGTATCTATTGACATATTTTCCTCTAAATATGTCAGCTTGCGATGATGCATTTGAATATAAATTCGATTCTTCAGTCATGTTAAAAATGTTAAAAAACAAGATTTATTATATTCGAATTCAAAGATCTATTATCACAATAGCAAAGTTAATAAACTTTTTTATTACGACAATCATAACTTTAATTATATTTTAGAATTTATAATACAAATGGAGTTGAGTCAATAGAAATCAAGCAAATTTTTTCTAAGTAAATTTTTTTGAAACTTTAACTAACAATAGCTTAGCAAAAACTTTATCAAAATTAATAAAAATTTTTTTAAAATAAATATTACAAATTGTAGAATTCATTTAAAAAAATTTTATTAAATTTGATAAAGCTTTTGTTGAGTTATTGTTGTTTAAAGTTTCAAAAAAATTTCAATAAAAACAATTTGCTTGATTTCTATTGACTCACCCTCAAATTTTAATTATCGATATATTGCAATTTTAACAATTGTCATAAATAAAATAATTTTGCATTGAAAACATTTTGTTTATTAAAATTAATTAAGTTGACATCGCTAATCATACTCACAGACTTAAGTCTTTACTAATAAGTTTTAAAATTTTGAGAATTATTTCCATTTCAGGACGATTAACGGACTCCATGTCCCAACATTGCTTGTAAAGTTCTTCATATCGATGCGGTGTGCCTTCTATTGATTCCTCTCTCTTTCTGTTACATATGTGAAGACCAATTTTTAATGGTGAATCAATATTCTGGAATGATGGTCTTCCACTTGAAATTTCCCAGAGGATTACTCCAAAACTATAAACATCAGATTTAATATCACGTTTATATTTATTGTCAAGCAGATATTTAGGATCGATATATGCTACCGTTCCATAAGCATTAAAATTCAAAGAACCTAATGTTTCATTTATAGATTTTGACGATCCAAAGTATGCAATCTTTGGTTGTCCTTGATGAATTAAAATATTCTTCGAATGCTAAATTATGGAGAATTGATGAAATAATTAATAAACATGTAATATACTGTAATATACTGTAAATATCCTATAATACTTACAAGGTCTCTATGAATAATCTTATTCTTATGCAAGACAGAAAGACCAAGCGCTATCTTCTCAGCAATATATAATTTATCTGCCCACTGCAATCTTTTAAAATTTGCTTCCAGGTATTCACGTGTTTGTGTTACGTGATTAATTAATATTTAATATACTTTATTTTTATATTTATAGATATTACTAGAGAAAGTATTTTTTTTAAATTAGAAGCTATACAATTTCCTGCTTCTTTTCCTTTAGATATTATACATTTTTATTTGAAGATGTTGCAATGCATATGTATAAACATTGATCAGGAACATTTTATTCAGATAAATCATTAAATAGTTCTAAAATAAATTCACAAACTTTATCTAAAGCTATATGGAAAAATATTAGTAATATGATGGAAGCAAACAAAAAAACAATGCCATTAGAATTTGAACATCCACTATTAAATATTACTAAATATTCAAATTTATTTAAAGCTAAAGATTGAATAAATTGAACCTGTTTATACTCAATTTCTTTATTATAATACTTTCATAATAAGAGGTTTTTAATTTTAATTTAATTGATAAAAAATAGTTTTTTCATGAGTTTTTTGTAATTCGAATAATTTAATTTCAAGACTTGAAATTATTAAACGATCTTGTTCATCTTTTAATGATAAAGTACCAGGAGCAATAGATGATAAAATTAATTTTTCTTCATCTGAAGCCGAAGAAAATATTATTCCTTGATTATTATTATTATTATTTAAATCAAAATCTTTTAATGATTTAAAATTTTTTAATTTTAAAAGTTCTGATGAAAGTTCCATAGTTTTTTGTTCAAGTAAATTAATTCTATTATCACGATTATTTAATTCATTTAATAATAAATTTTTTTCTTGATCATTTTCAGCTAAATCAAATTTTTCTTTAAGTTCATTATAATTATCTTCTTTATTTCTTAATTTAATTTCTAATCTTTCAACAGTTTTATTAATTTCAATAAGTTGTTTTTCACTTAATTCTAATCGTGATTCAAGATCTTTTATATAACTTTCACTATTTAAATTATTAATTTTTAATTGTGATAATTTTAATTTTAAATCATTTATTAAATTTTTATCTAAATTATGTTCTTTAAAATTATTATCAAGTTTTAATTCTAAATCTTTTATATAATGTTCATTTGTTGATTCACGTTCAATAAGTTGTGAAATATTATTTCTTAAATCATTAATTAAATTTTTATATTGTAAATTAATTTCTTCAATATAATCTAATTTTAAATCTTGATCTTTTATCAAATTTTCTGTATGAATTAAAGCAGCTCTTGTTAAAGCTAATTGACTTTCTAATGATGAAATTAATTTTTCATATTCTTCTATAACAGGTTCAACAGCTACTTGAAAACTATCTGATGCTCTTTTAATTAAACTATTATTATTATTATTATTTTCATTATTAAAATTTTCTTCAAAATTATCTTGATGCATAGCTAATTCTGCTGTAGTTTTTGCATACTTTTGTGATAATTCTGAATATGAACGTTGTAAATATATAAGTTGTTCTTCAAGCATTTCAATTTCTGTATTACTTTTACCATTAACATCAGTAGTAACTATTGTAACAGGATTTGCCGTTGTTGTTAATCTTTGTTGATCAGGAGAAGTTGAAGATGATGATGAAGGAGGTTCTATAGTATTATTATTATTATTATGATTAATAATATTAGAAGGAATAGGAGTATTCCTTCCCGAACTATTTGAACTATTATAACAACTATTTCTACAACTATTAGTACCATTCGTAGATGAACCAGTAGATGAACCATTAGTTGAAGAAGAATTTAATGATGCCTTTAAAGTTTTTATCTCATTCCTTAATTTTAAAACTAAAGATTGTAAATGTTCTAAATCATTCCAACCATTTTCTTCTTGATTTATTGATATAGAATTTTTAATATTACGAGCTCTATTAGCATATTTTAAAGTATTTATCGTCTCATTTAAATTTGATTCTGATGAAGATATGCATGCTATCATTAATGTTTTTGCGTTACCACCAAGTGAATCTTGTAATAATCTCGTAAGTTTAGAATCTCTATATGGAACATGAGTCACGTGCTTTGCTTTGTTTGGATCACCAAGTGCTGATATCACGTTCCCTAAAGCTAATAAACCACCATTAATGGATATACCTTCTTTTGCACGTTCTCCGACAGCAGAAGTCCTTTTTAGCTAAGGATAAAAAAAAAAAAAAAAGAATGTTACAGTAAACGTGATTAATACACTACTAATACAACTAATAAAGGCAAATACAACTAATAAAGGCAAATACAACCAATAAAGGCTAATACAACCAATAAAGGCTAATACAGCCAATAAAGGCAAATATAGCGAATAAATAGAAAAATATTAAACACTTACTCTCTCACTACCAGCCAAATCAACAAAATGAAATTTACTCGTTACAGTAACCCAATCACCTTCATCAAATCTTCGACTCATTCTTAAATTTAAATTTGAAGATGATCGAGCAATTCTTTTGGAATCAGCTAATCTTGAAGGAGTAGCAGGTCGAATAGCAGTAGGAGTTGGTGTCGAAGAACCTACGAATTTTTGTTGTGACATTATGACAGAAAATATTGCATGTGATCGAGAAGATTTAGAATTCATTTCAGTCGCACCGACTTGTCGATTCAGAGAACCACGAGCTAAATGGCTAAAATATATATATGTATGTTTAATTTACACGTTAGAACAAGATAAATGTGAAGTGAAATGAAAAAAAACAAATACACACATACACACATATATATATATGTGTGTATATATATGTATAAATGCTCACCTAATAACATCATCGACACTGTTTACTTTTATTTCTTGTAAACCGTTCCATAAAATAGTTCCTTTTGAATCTTCTCTTATTGTGACTTGTGATCGACTTTCCATATCACCTTCACCAAGAAGATCTATTAAATCTTCATTATATATTTCTATGAAAGAAACTTTTATACAAAATTTTTGATTTTTGCATTGCATAGAATTTAAAGTTGTAAATAAAGTTTCCATAGCGCGAGGGATTATTCCTTTTGAATCTGAAGATATCGAAGAATTATCAGCAGTGCCCATCGTATGTGTTTTACCCGATGAAGTTTGACCATACGCCAAGATTGTTACATTATATCCTATCGTACGTATTAAAAAAAAAAAAAAAAACACTCGGATAGTTAGTTTTGTCATCACGTGAATAATCACCAATCGGAGAATTTTCATATGAAAAAAAAAAAAGTTGCAAAAAACGTTAAAACTTTACCATCTAAAAAATTTTCAACTAATTTTACAATGGCATTCGTATAAACTTCTTCTTGTGTTGATTCTGGACCAAATACATAATCATAACTAAATTGTTGTTTCTTTTCACCTTGAACGATTATCGAATTCGGAGAAGCTGAATTTGTTGTAATAACTTGGCGTTGAGATCGTGATGATAAAAAATTTACATCATCATTCGTGAGCGGCTTTATTCGTAAGGCTAATAAAAAAAATAAAAGAGATTAAGTATTATTATAACCATTTTTTTGCGAGTCAGATCAAAATTTTAAATACGGAGTTTCATTAGGGTTATGAATGAGTCTATGTTTAGGTATTAGTGGGATTTTACAAATTACAAATTATTTTAATCTGAGAGATATCTAATCCAAATATAGATCAAGTAAGTAACCTTTACCGATGAAAACCAAAGATTTTCATCAAAATAAAGAATAACGTATGTGCTAATCAGTTGGTTTAGTGATTTTTTTTTAGATCAAGATTATTCTCTGTATTGCTTTCAAGCATCAAAGAAGAAAATATATAGATTATCAGAAATGAATTTCCTTCGAATCTACTTTGGTTGTTGAAACTATCTTACAGTAAATGATTCGTTTTCTTTCTGATCAATCAAATTCAATCTCTCTTAAACATTTTCTATCCTTATTTTCGTTGATTAAAATACCTACCAACTTGTACTGAAGTGCGTTCAGATCCTTTACCGTTTGTAGTCATCGATGATATTTTAGTTAAAAAAAATTATTTTGTTTTTTTTTTTTTTTTTTGTCTTTTTTTCTGTAACGGAATATTTGTAATATTGGTTATGAATGTTTTAGGGAGGGGTTCTTTTTGTACTGGCAGTAAACGCTCTTTTTTTAATAGCCCATCGAACTTTTACTGTAAAGTATTATTATTAGGGTGCCAGCCCACTTGTCTTTTGTAGGTATAATAACCAGTAGTCGCTTGTGCTGATAATATGTATATAAATAGAGTATCAATACGATGTACTGCACCTTTGTTTTAAAAAAGGGTTTCTATAAAAAAAAAAAATTGGAAAAAAAAATAAAATAAATAAAAATTGCTATTTTACAAGTGTTTTTAAACTAACTTAGTGGTAACCGATGCGAAAATCGTGGAAAAAAAACAGAAAAAAAAAAAGGAAAAGGAAAAGGAAAGAATAAGCCGGTAAAGTGGAGTATAAAATATGAAAATTTTAATCCTACGGCTGTTAAAAAAAGAAAGGCAAACGTGACTACTCCGTATTCTATTTACGGTACTAAAAAAAAAAAAAATTATCGCTAAAGGGAATTTTTTTTACTTTAGATGTCAGATTTACTTTAATTTTCCTGTTTAGAGACCAACACTTTGAGTAACTGAGAAAATAAATTATTGTGCTGTAATGTTTTGATTATGTACACAAAAATGTGTCGAATACATCGAGCGAAAAATTTCGCTTTTTGACGAATTTGGATTTATTGAATCTATAAATTATATCAGATACGTATAACATTTTATATAAGCATAGCCTTGGCCTTCAATTGTGTAACTTTCATCAGCCAATTTAGTTGAAGTACTATGATGTTGCCGTAATCGTTAGAGTAATACGTATTATTGTGCTTGTATGCGAATTAATATTCTTCTCTTTGAGTGAATAACAAGTATGACTTACATACCGATAACAAATGAGTCGAACAACTTTCTCTACGTAATAATATATTTTGCGCAGTAACATTATTTACGTTTAGGAACTTTTAATTATAACCATTTTCAGAATTATATATTATCGCTATTATATTTTATTTATTATTGTCAGTTATTAAAAAAAAAAAAAAAAATAAGATTTTTACGGATCTACAAGTTAATTTTAATAGATTTACCTGTGTTTATTATTATTCGTTCCAATTTTAAAAACATTGATCAGTACACAAAAGTTGCTAAATTAGTTATATTTTATTTCATTATCTCGCCTGAAAGGAAATTTATTAACGTTTTTTAGTATTAATAAATATTTACCTGACGACCACAATTAATTTTAGCATAAGATCTTACTTAAGAAAATAACGTAATGATATTTTTGTAGATATTTATGTAGTACTGGAAAAAACAAAATTCCTACAACTTTGATTCGTTATTCGTTGATTTTGAAAAGAGAAACGTATACGTATGAATGCTATTCTGCACCTATAATCACCTATAATAATGATCATCCAATTAAACCCTTCATTTTTAATTCGTGGTAACTTTTATTAAATAAATTTGAATGAACCCATGAATTTTTCTAAAATTCTAATATTCTAAAATTACGGTGTATCGATATATCGAATCAAAAATTTCGAACATCAAAACTTAATATTAAAAAAAAAAAAAAAAACATTTAATTATTACCGGTAAATGGTTTTATTTGTAAACACCTAATTATCGATATGGCTAAAGTAAAAAAAAAAATGCATACTAACTCCAATAAAGAGACGTTTTCTATATTGTGTTTCTGTAACTTTAGAACTCCAAATATAGTATATAAAAGTTGTCAATCTTTATTTGAGGTACGCAGGAACCAACGACATCAAATTGTTTTTGCGATTATTAATTAATTTTGCATGCTTATTATAAAACTGCAAAACACTAATGCAGTAACTTACTATATACTACAATATATTAATAAACATGCACTAAATAAAAAATAAGCGCCAGATATTCTAAGCAACATTTATGTTACGCAAAAATCCTTACATATTATATTACCAAAAAAAGAATTATCTTCAATGATAATGTACTGTATGAAAAAAAAAATGCGATTTGAATTCAAACTATAAAACTCGGTTTTTGCTATCGAGCATACTACTGTACCGTATTTATCAATTTTCAAAGAGGCTTCAATATGTGCAGAAAAATGTAGTGACAATTAACAAACCATTACAGATAAAATAGATGCAGTTACTGTGAAATAACTTTTGAGACTTTCTACGTAGCTATTAATTTTTGAATTTCTAACGATACGTATAATAAAAAATTATTAATAAAAAATCATTAATTATTTTTAAGAAAATTAATATTTAAACTATCCAATAATATTTTTATATAGAACATCTTCATACGTAGAATCGGTAATCTTTTATTTAAATTTTAAATACAGTATGTATTAAATTTTATTCCTAATAATAATAATAAACTTTTTAAATCATTATTGAATCAATTCCTAAAAGAACTACCGTTCATCAAGTTTTAAATCTTTTAAATCGAATGCATAAAATTATTGGTAATTTACGTATCTATTTTTAATTGTGTTAAATTTGAATGATTTAAAAAAAGATTAATCTCCAATAAAAAGTCTTCCCGTCTTAAATTTGGATAATCGTTACACAACTATAATAGCTAAATAATTTTTAATAAGTAACTTCTATGAAACGTATCCAAAGTAAGCAAACTTAGTTACCTGTTGCATTTTTTTTTTTTAATCACCCCTGTTAATCCCACACCCATTAACAAAGTTACATTTAAGATATATTATAAAAAAGTATAAAACCATTAAGCTAAACTAAAATAGAAATGCATCGCATAGATTAGATATAAAGATCTATAGAAAAATTGATAAAGTAACATAGCTCACTTATCACAACAAGATTCAGGACAACTTGAAACATTATCCCTGTATAATATTTTAAAAATTTTAAAAAAAATTCACCATAAAATATAACTTAACGTTAATAGATATATATTTATAATTATTAATATAATTATGTTATAATTATACATTCGTAACAGGTAAATTATACAAATATAGGTTAATCACACTGATCTATTTACTTCCCACAAAATGAACCAACGTAACCAATAAACCATCACGGACATGTGATGATGCGATGTAGGATAGTGAACTTTAAAACAAACGTTCGCTTTATCAAAATTCGTATATTTCGCCTAAGAAATCACCTTTCATACTCTAACAAAAAGTTTTCCTTGAGTAATTTTACTGTATATACTGTAAACTTTAACCTTAATTAATATAAAAAAACACTTAAAATTTTTTCGGTTATCACGTATTTGTACTTTTTTTGACGGCTAGGCCGTTTAAATTTAAGCTTTCGTCTAACGTTCTTTTGTGCAAAGGGGGGAGGAAAAAAATTAAACAAATTGTAATTTGTAATTTTAAACGAAGTTTAAATGATCCAAACTTAGGTTCAATTTAGCCTAAATATAATCCAAACTTTATTTAACCCCAATAAATCCCGATGTGCTCGTGTTTAATGTTGATTGTTTGTCTAACTTTCCAATCTACTTTATGTTGTTCAATTTAAGAGGGAGCTTCAGAAGTGAATGGAGGTGGGAAGAACATTTTAATTTCAAATTGCCTTACTTCGAGGAAGCCATAGAAAGTGTCGGTCCCGTGATCTCAATGGTTTATTCTCACTATATCAGATATAACTTATAAAAAAAAATTAATTTTAGGGTGGGGAATGGGCCGGGCCGGATTTGGTCACACATTTTTTGAACCTGATATTATGTTGGGCCTTGTAAAAAATGCCCTGACTGGCCCAATGATATTCGGTAACTCTCTAGAATATAATAAGCGGAATAAATGATTTGCTGATTTTAATTTATACTCATAATCAGTGTTGTACATGAACACTGTTCGCGTCCTAACCAGGTTTTTAGAAAATCAAGTTGATTTTAAATTTCACCTGGTCAAATATGCATTTTACTTATCCGATAGTTACCATTGATTATACTACCTATTATTTCTTTATATCATGGTATCAAAAGCGGAATTTTAAATTTTGTACATATGAGCTCGAAGATGACTACTCCCGGATAATATCGTTATCAAGTAGTTTGTGGATGTATTGCGTATAGTGATACGGGTCGATGAAAATTTCTTGGGCCAGGGTCGAGGCCAAAAAAACTCGGGCGGGTCGTCCGGGTCGACCTTTCTACTAGAGTTCAGTTTCGAATTTCATCGCCGAGTCAAGGTTAGTTAGCGTATGAGAATCACTATAATATGTGAAGAGAAGAGAAATTATTAATAAAAAACAGATAAAATTTACCAAAAAAAAAATTAACCAAAAAGTCGCGAAAAATCGGAATCGAATAAAAAAAAGGAGAGATCGGAAAAACTCGGATTAGAAAAGAAAAGTGTATTATTTCGGATTCGGAAGAAGTAATTGTACTTGACTACCGTCAAACTTTATTTATTGACCGTTTCCAACCATCATCTATATTGCAAATCTATTGGCCAAAATAGTGATGGGGAAAATGCGCATGATACCGCATGATATAAATTCTCTTTTTTCTTTTTCATTTCGGAAAAAATCGCTATGTTTCTCAAATTTCGGTCGCGACCTTGCTCGTCTTTGAGGTTCATTCATTTTCTTTTCGAAACTTTTGAAATTCCTATCACTTAATTCCGCCCGGCATTATGCTCTCTGGCCTAAATTACGCGGCCTAACCAAAACATATAAATTCTTGATGGGCAAAAATGCGCATAAATGCGCATTCATTCGTATGTTTCAGGTACCCATCCCTAGGCCAAAATAATTTGATATTACGTCGACCCGGCTGGTCCAAAAGTGCGTGCCGCTATCGCGCATCTGAGCCGATCAATGGCTGTTTAATGCCGCCAACTCAATATCATCCACAAACTTCCTGATAACTATTAAATATAATACAATAATAAGTTTTTTCTATTATTACTGAAACACCTGATTAAAAATTAGTTAAGTGACTATAAAAAACTTATGGCAAGAATTCACTAACACTCACTTTGTAGATACAACACTTCGCCAACATGCTTTTTTTTATTTTTTTATTTTTATTTTATTTTTATTTTTCTTTTACAGACAACCAATTTCTAGACAGGCTCATTTCGTAGAAACTCATCTTCGTGATTTGGTAAAAAATAAAAATAAAAATAAAATAAAAAATGCGTTGTTTATCTCTCCTAAATGAATTTTACTATGAATACACTACACTATAGTGTTATGACCCGAGTGGGTACCACCCGGGTTGAGTTGTAGCAACCCGGGTGGGAACAGGTGGGTCAACCCGCGGGTAAAGTGCAAAAGTGAATTAATAAAAGGTTAACTAAATTATATGAAAATTTCATAGTATATGTATTTTATTATCCTGAACAAATTTACTTAAGACGTCAATATCGATTTAGATTTACTTATTAAAATTTCGATTATCTATATAGCTACGATCATCGATTGATTAAAATTAATTTTTTAAAGGATAATTTTAACGCTCACCAGTGGTGAAATTCACCAGTTATATGATTAACCAATAAAATTACAGGATCTCGTGTAACGATAATAAAGAAATTTTAAAGAAAAAAAAATTAAAAATCATTAATATCTTAAAATTTTATTATGAAAACTTGTATTATGTCACTAAATAAAAGTTTTCAGCATATAATTTTACATATAATAAACACTCTAACCCTAATATAGATCTCGCCCTAACCCTAAAGTTAAAGAAAAAATAACTTGTTTATTAAGAAATAATTAAACAGAAATATATACTGGTGAATTTCATCAGTGGTGAATTTTAAATCATTTCTTTTATTTATTTTTTCAAAAAAATGATAATATCTCAAAATTTCGCTTATATAACTACTCTTGAAGCTCTAATTAAAAAAATTCCTTGCTAAATTTTGCATACACTAATAACTAGATAAAATCTCAGGCCTCACCCTAACCCTAAAATAAGTAAAAGTTATTTTTTGTTTTTATAAAAATTTATTTTTTTTGTTTTTGTTACACAAATTTGCAAATCAAAATAATACTATCAGCTATGGTATTAAACACCATAGAAAAAAAAAACTAAAAAACAATTCAATTAGCAATAGAATAATTATTACTTAATAATGATTTCAAAAACAATGACAGAAATATGTGGTTTACTGATTTTTTTCTAATCTTTTTCTTTTTTTACGTTTTTTTTTTTTATATTTGTTTTAACTAATTTATTACGAAAACAAGAACACCTAGAATCCAAGATAATTGAATGGACCTTAAAAATTTTATTATTTGGCGTTTGACCAACTTCAATTAATATATCGTAATCTAATTGATTTTCATGAAGATTCGTTAAATCGTTAGAAAGTTTTGTGAAAAATTCCGTAGACATTTTTGCGAAGGAAACATCAATCTTGTATCAATCCATATGGTGTAAATCAGTAACTGTGTTTACAATTTAGGATCTTGTCCTTGTTTCAACAAGACTAACGCTAACGCTAAGCCTTATCGTACATTATTTGGTTGAGATTGTTGCTACGTATACGGGGATTTGTGCATCAAGTTGTTTTTGGTTCATGTATAATTTCACCGACAAAAACTGGCTAACACCTAACCCTAAATCGGGCTAATATGTCAGTAAAATGACCTATTCGGTAAAAGGAGTGTCGGTGAAGTGAACGGAACCGGTTGTTTTTACTAGTCGCGTATAACAATAAATTCTATTTAATGCGCCAAATATACAAGTTATGAACTGGTAACATAGCGGCGCATAATACAATTCATCGTTATTGGTCTTTGTATTATCACGTGGAAGTCGACATTATGGTCAAGGATTTTTAAAAAAATCTTTGTATATCGAAACCCGAGTTACGATCTAGTAAAATCCGAGTAAGGATGGATAAAATCCTCGTTTTTTTTATTATCGTTATGGATTTCACCCTCATGTGATCTACTTACTAGCTCGCAACTCGAGTTTCACCCTGTCGTATTAAATTTATTATTACGATAGGGTTAATTAAAATTTAAATTAAAGCTGCATTGCAAAAAATTTTTTTATTAAGTTCTATGATTTTTTATAATTAAAATAAATTTTCAGATAATTGTTTGTTTCAAATTTGATAAGCATCTTCAAAGTTTTGCAAAATATTTGGCACAGCTTTTATTTTGATAGGCGTTTTGAAACTTTGATAACTACCTAATCAAAATTCTATAAAATTTTTTTTAAAAAAATTCATAGAATTAAAAAAAAGCATGTTTTTACACGATCATCAATTCTTATGTAATTATTAAAATAATATATTTGCTGACCAAATTTTCAGCTTAAAAAAAGTTATTTATTATAAAAACAACATATCCTAAACATTAAATATCTACATAGATAAATGAATAGATAGAAATTAAAGTGCGCCAAAACATATCAATAATTTTAATTTACCAGTAACTTGTTATATACGATTTCATATTAACAATATTTACATAGTTTAACGTTAAATAATATTAATTTTGCTAATTCCAGGTTAACTAGAGTTTTAGATAATTAATATCATTCATAATGCAATATTGAAACATTTTTATCCTATTAAGAAACGATTCTCTGGTTCAAAATCGATTATCTGTAAAAGATACGGCTTTCCTTTCAATTTAGATAGTACAGGACCGCAGTATCGCATTATCAACAATTATTTATATCAGGCTAATAGCAAATAACATCGTAGTTTCTACTTCACAAGATGATTAAGACTTTATTTAAACAAAAAACTCATATAGCAAAAGTGATCGACGTGACGTTATGTGAATTTTTCTTGTTTTTTTTTCTGCATTATTCAAGTACACAAACTAAAACGGTTCTGATGATATCTCGTATGGAAAATTCACCTCTTGTCTATTCTCATTCAAATATCTGAAAGGAATACCAAAATATTTGAAAATGAGGCTCAAGGCAATTATTTCATTTACCACCCAATCCTTTGCATAAATCGTAATATTGCCATAGTCATAAATATCATTTGATGAGATTTGATACAGACCACCAATACATTTCTTCACGGCTTCTAGATTCACATAATTCATCTCGCACGTCTTTTCCAGACATTTTAGAAATCGCGGATCACCATTCAAGTTCTCTACCAAATAATCAGCAGCTTCACGAAACACTGGAGGATATTCAACTTTCCAGTAAGAAATCTATAAAACTATAATAATTAAAAATGTAAAAAACAAGGCTTACACATAAATCCAAAGCTGACTCAACGCTATAAATTCCTAGAATGTTAAAAAATGTCTTGAACGTGCAACACATTCGGCTTCATCATCTTTTTGTCTTTCTAATAATTGAATTAACAATTCTTTATCATCAAATATTTTCTTTTTGCATCATACATTTTCTTCATCTCCGCTATATTCTCTACATTTTTTGCTTCTAATTTCTTTATCTCTGTTTTTTGTGTTCATCAAATATGCTTTATCTTTGAAAAATTCGTCAAAACTAGAATTGCATCAGTTGATGCGAATAAATCACGAGCTTCCACTGGCTCCCCTTTGGATGAGTCAATAAGTTTTATGCCAAAAATCCCATCATTATTTACTTTCAGATCAGATCAAATTAAAGAGAAAAGTCGTTTTTGGATTTTAAAGCTTACTAGAATTCTGGGTGGTAAACGTCAAAACGAAGAAATCATTTTTGAGTTCAAATTAAAGAAGAGTCAACCAGATTATCGCGCGCATCTTTAATTTGCGTTAATCAGGTGATGGATGATACAATCGTTATGATATCAATTTTCAATTTTAGTATTTATTACGTCATCTATATTTTGTAAAAAAAAAAGACAGTTTCGCTTCTAAGCTAATACTTGTATCTTACAATACAAATGAGATTTTTCATTATAACAAAAAAATTTTTTTTCATATTTTTAAATGACCTATATTTTTTTTTTCTTTTACGTTAAAAACCTTTAAATGTCTTATTTTGAAAATAGCATTTTGAAACTATCGATATGATTAAACTTAAAATTTGATTGGTTGACTTACAAAATGTTTATCATAACGTCAATTTTTTATTTTCGGTGAAATGAGATGTAAACATCTATATTCGTACTACGTATGCTAAAAAATGCGAACCTTGTTCTATTTAGAAAAATGTTGCTTCGAATGCGAACCTTGTTCTATTTAGAAAAATGTTGCTTCGAAAATGTAGTCGTACCGAAATTTACATCATTATACATTTTCTATAACTTTTGTCTAATAATATTAGTAAAAAATTACGCCAAAAAAACAATTGATTTGAACTTTACTCTTCTCAATCTTTTTTAATAAAATTATCAAAAACATGGTTATAAAAGAAAATAATAATATTGAATTTTCTGACTTAAAAAAAATCGGTGAAGGAGGATTTGGAATCATATCCAAAGCAATATGGAAAAGACAACATCAGTTAGAGATTACTGTCGCTATAAAACAATTAAAAAATAAAAGTGACATTGATAAATTTAAGCAAGAAGTAAGAACTCATAATATTTGATACAAGAATATTTTAATATATTATTATTAATAACTAAATATTTATTTTTAGCTCAAGATCATAAAAAAAGTTTGCAAAAATCCTAAACGTCGAAACATTGTTAAATTTCACAAAACTACAACTATTCATAATAATTCATTTAACATGGTTTTCCAATTTGCGAATAAGGGTGATTTACGAACTTATTTAGAAAAATCATTTGAAAAACTCACATGGATTCAAAAGTTACAAATGGCATATGAAATATCAAGAGGTGTTGAATTTTTACATAAAAATAATATTATTCATCGAGATCTTGTAAGTATTGATTTATTAAATTTATTTAAAAATGTTACAAAAAAAAAAAAAAAAAATATTAATAAAATTTATATTTTGTTTAGCATACCAAAAATATTCTGGTTTATGAAGGAATATATGAAATTAAAATGTTAATTGCAGATTTTGGACAAGCAAAATTTTTGAATCAAGAAACTCCAAATGCTGACGAACCTCATGGAATTCCAGCATATACCGATCCTACATATAAATTTACTAAAAAATCAGATATCTATAGTATCGGAATGATTTTCTGGGAAATATCGAGCGGTAAACCACCATTACAATCAATCCAAGACCAAGTACATCTTATTCTCGAAGTTTCTAAAGGAACGAGAGAAACACCGGTTGAAGGAACTCCGCCTCGTTACACAGAACTATACCAAAATTGTTGGAATTGCATACCCAAAAAACGCCCAAACATAGAATATATTGTTAATAATTTAAACGCTATTTTACTTGATTTCCAAATTGGAATTAATATACATGCAACAAACAAATCATCGCATAATTTAATGCATGATTTGATTGTTATGCATTTTTTTTTTTTACACAACTTGAATGATTACACATAACTTAAATATAGTACACCTAAATTTAAGTACAGATCAGTACATTTAAAAACAAAATACAGTACGAAACTTCTACAGTCCGTAACTTAAATGATTATACAAATGCATTTCTTTTTTACACATAACGATAAATGATTACACTAATCGCAATTTCCTTTTTTATAGAAGCGAAACTGTCTTTTTTTACAAAATATATAGATCGTTTTGTGAGTTGTAAAAATTTAGACTTGTATTATTTTATATGTGGTGCAGTTTGCAGATCTATTAATACCCTGAAAATTTTCTGACATTACGTACGCTTGACCGATATTCTTAAAAATAATAACGTACCCTAATGATTTTAGAAATATTTTGTATCTTGGATTATTAATTATTCGTTGCAATGAGATTTGTACTACACTAGCCAAAGTTTCATAACATGACAGGCGGAACAAATATTACAATCGTAGCTGTATCGACATCAATATATTTAACCTTATATTACCGGTCCGTCAAGTCCAATTCTAATAAGTCCTATTCGGTCTTTGGACCAAGACGGACCGGACGGTGAAAAAGTGAGAATTGGTTCTAGGCTAGAACTCGTCCGGAAGTTTGGTTACACACGGGTTGAATCCAACTAATCTATACAGATAAACCGGGATAATCTACAAATCCAACTAAGAGGTAACCCTAGGTTGGAAAAGGCTTGAAAGAGGCGAGGATTAACTTGGTCCGAGGTTAGGGTTACTTGGGTAAGTATTTAGATTATTGATGTTGGGTCTATGGATTGGTGGATCGATTTAACAATTACGATATCGATCAATTGTTTAATCAATTTACAGGTATTATAAAAGAGTATGCAATATAAGAATTCGGGCACTTTTACTCTAACAAGAAAAAGATTTGGTAACAACGAGAAAATAATTCGGGACAGAATTCAACGAAAGATTACCACGGAACAAGATAGAGAAGATTTTAACGATTCAATAAAATGTTTGTAACGAATTCAAAGGGAAATTTATTAAAGGATAAACACTTCTTTTCAAGACTATTCAAGACTCAGAAGGTTTTTATTTTTCGAACTCCAAGAGTTGTTTTTTATTCAAGGTAATTTCGCATTGTTTATATACATTTTCTTTACATATAAAGGACTAACGAGAATTATTGTTATTCTAGTTATTCTTATAATTCTTATCATTCTCGTTATTCAAATTATTCTCGCTAT